TCTTCTTCTTGGATCTGGGGCTGGTACTTCGGCCGTTTGATCGATCCTTCCCTTTCCCTTGACCTTTTCCTTTTCCTTTTGCATGCTGTTTAGGCTGAGGTGATGGTAGAACTGGAGCTGCATCGGCCTTGGCCTTCGCCTTGGGCGCTGCCTTCTCCTTGGGAGTAGCTTTAGGCTTTGCTTTTGGATTTGCATCCGGTGCAGCAGCAGTTGGGTTCGGAGCAGGAGCTGAAGGTTTGCCGCCGCCTGCAAAGTCTCTCGCATACTTCTCTCTGGCTGCCACATGCTTGTCCTCTCTGATTCTGGAGATGTGCCTTTCGATGACATCCAACAGGTAGCGATAATTTCGTCTTTGGTCTCCTTCCATCCATGACTCGTACTGCTTGATGTCAAACATCATAAGACTCGAATTTCGAATCTTCTTGTATAGAGCGTCACGAAGCCAATCATCAGGAGGTACGTCATCCGGCATCATGTTTGATACCATCTCCATCCATTTCTCGTAGAACACTTCTAGGTTCGAGTCACCGAGATACTTCATCGATACGATGTGCTCCATGGTGAAGGATGTTTCTCGTGGACCTGGGGTTCTGAAGTGCTCCAGAATCAAAGCCAAGATTTCCCGTCCCATGACATAGGTTCCTCTTCGGCTATGACTTTGTGTTCTCAATCTCAATTTGATCGCTACATGACGAGCAACATCACCGGCTTGGGCTATCACGTTTGACAATGCAATTGACAACTTGGCGTCGATGGACTGATACCGTTGCCCCCCACTGTCATTCAACAGCTCGATGTCAGGATTAGGTCGAATAGCCGGCTGTAGCCATGCCTCCCATGCGGCTTTATCCCCGTCGTTTGCCGAAAGGACAACACTCTTGATGAGATCTGATTGCCAAACCCCAAGATTCTGTTGCTTTGGCCATGGGCTAACATAGACTTTGTCAGCCTCTCGTCTTGACATTCTTGGTACTTCTTCCGCAGTGTAAGCCGCTGTGGAGACATCATCTGCTGAATCGCGTTGTGATCCTCGAACCGATGGCAAACCAGGAGGTTCAGGAGGTGGTCCTGGACCGTTAGGCCCGAAAGGGTCCGGAGGTCCATCAGGGTCAGGCGGACCGCCCCATCCACTCGGTGGCTTGTAATATTCCTTCTCAGTTCCGCCAGCGATCTTGTTGTCAACCTCTTTCAGTAGATCAGCGATTCTTTTGCTTGATTGAGAATGTTGTGGTTGTTGAGGAGGTAAAGCATGCCCACGATAGGAATGAGCCACATTTGTCTCATAAGTCAACTCCTTGTCGATCTGCGAAACCCAAGATTTCAGGATAGCGTTTTCACAGTTAGCCTCACTCACGTCATTCTCCAGTTTGTCGATGACCAGTCTGGATGCGAGATCGGAGTTGGGAATGCCTGCCGAATAGGGAAGTGTGTCAGGACTGATCCTAGCCATAGATGTTTCAGAATCCTTGAGACTCTTTCTCAGTTCATCTAAGTGACGTTTCATGTCAACAATCTCAGAATTCTTGATGCCAATCTTTTCATCCCTATCCTGGATTTCCCCCATGAACATGCATGATCTCTCATATTGTTGAACACCACTCGCCAATTTTAATTTTCGCTCACTCTCTAGTTCAGATCTTAGAGTTCGGGCCTCAGCATTGGTGAGGGACGACGCCCCTACATCCGCAACTTCAGCCAACCTTTCTTTTAACAACAAGTTCTCTTGTAAGCATTCATGAACTTCATGATCTAGATCCTGAACCCTGATTTGAGCGATCTTAGCTTGATTACGTTAGATCTTCAACAAGCATCTCTTCGGGGCCACGACCGTCGGTCGTAGAACCCTGAGTCAATGATCTTCGTAACTTCGTGTTCTGCAACTTAATCTCATCCTTCAATTCGCAGTTCATCTTCTGCTCGTTGGCATAGAGCTCTTCATAGTGCTCTGCCCTTGCGATCGAGTTTGCACTGGCCTGTGATTCAAGCCTCAGGTGAGATATTGCTTCGGCCTCTTGGTTCCTGTATGATGCAATTCTTTTGACGGTATCATGTTCAGTGTTTCGATGCTTCAGATCACTTTCCAATTTGGCCTGATTTGCCTCGAACACCTTCTTCCTAGACTCTCTAGTGATCTCATCAATACTGCTCTCATACAGCTCGGCCTGTTTACGAGACTGAACCAAGGCTTCACTCAATAGCTGATTTCGCTCAGATAATTCATGAACTGCAATTGGTTGTTGCTGGCTAATCACTTCAAGTTGATTACTAGAGGAGGATGCCATTTCAGATCGATTACGATATTCCATGATTGAGTTCTGGAAATCATTTTGCATTTCTTGACCTTCATTGTATAGTCGATTGGCAATATCGGTGGTTAAGACATTGGTTTGATGAAGTTGTTGTAGTCTTGCCTCCGTAATACCCAGTAGTCCTTGAAGGTGATGTACTTCATCCTTGTACTCCTCCTGGATCTCCATACCACGTTGATGGATCCGTCGTGCACCATGTTCCATTAGGGCACCTCGGCGTTCAAGGTCTTGGATGCGTATTGTTGCACCTTCATCTTCCTGAGATGCTACCATTAGTTCTGCTTGATATTCTGCAACCTCATTTGCGGAACATGACAATCTATGATTGAGTGCATTGACCTCATCAAATACATTCTGATTGTGTTCCCGAAGATACTCAGTGAACCTGATCTCGATGTCATGAATCAGTTGATCCCTGGATGTAGCATATGCTTCCATGTTGTTCAGCTGATTACGTAGGGATTGACATTGTGCCCGTAGTTCTTCTATCATGGCAATAGGTTCACTAGCCACAGAAGTATCCGTTGATCTCCTCTTAACACGACTATCCCCGGTCCTCTCACCAATTCGGTCGGTCACGGCCCTGGTGGATCTGTCCCTTGGAGTAGTACGTCCTCGTGATGGTCGATGCCCTTGGCGGACAACATCACTCCGAGCACTGTTTCGAGAAGATCTAGGTGTACTTTGGGTGGATATTCTTCGTCTGTTTGATGTGACTTGCCATCCGGACTGTGTAGTTCGGGTAGAGCGTATCCCGCCACTGTCTGCCGTGTCGCCAGGGGAAGATTGATTGACCTCCTCGACCGGCATAGCAGCGTTCTCATTGAAGGTAAACTGCGTGGTGCGCGAATCTCCGCTGCCGCCTTGCATCTTTGCGATGGTGAGCTGATTGGTCCTTTGCGTCCTCAATCAATTGCTCAGAAGGCCCGGCTACCAGCACGCAGGTACCACTCTCCCGGCGGGAGAAGTGAGCCCTACGGCTGATAACCTGTGAGCAATTTGATCCTTGTTCTGGATTATCCCTTTTGATTGTAGTACCGGTTGTGCTGGTAGTGCAGGGCAACGTCACTGCATGGCGTTCGGAGAACGGTCTTTTTCCTCGCGCATGACTTGAGCCAAGTGATTGGCAGTCCATGCATAATTGTTTACATGCTCAGCATGTGCAGTTGCTGTATTACCTGGTTCCCTTTCGCAAAAACAACATATGCATATACCATTGTCACAACAGGATTGTCATTGCACATGTTTACTCTTAATAATCAAAATTCTTCCGGCAACTATTATGCTATCTTCTAATCCTTGTTAGCATTGTAACATTACGCGCAAACACCCCGTTTCGCCCACACCCTTCTTGTCTTAGGAAGATCAACAAAGGTATTAGGGGCTAGGGAACATAAAAGTCCCACCCCGGTTAAGCCTCTACATTCATTGAAGATCTTCAATCAGGGTTTAATTCTCCCACCGCCGTTAAACTTCTACATTCATTGAAGATCTTCAATAAGGGTTTCATTCTCCCGTTAAAATTATACATTCATTGAAGATCGGTTTAATTCTCCCACCTCTGTTAAACTTTTGCATTCATTGAAGATCTTCAAAAAGGGTTTAATTCACCCACCCCTGTTAAACTTCCACATTCATTGAAGATCTTCACTTAAGGGTTTAATTCTCCAACCCCGGATAAAAATTTCCACATTTACTGAAGATGTTCAATTAAGGGTCTAATTCTCCCACCTCCGTTAAACTTTTACATTCATTGAAGATCTTCAAAAAGGGTTTAATTCACCCACCCCTTTTAAACTTCCACATTCATTGAAGATGTTCACTTAAGGGTTTATTTCTCCAACCCCGGATAAAATTTCCACATTTACTGAAGATGTTCAATTTAGGGTTTATTTCTCCGACCTCCGTTAAACTTTTACAAGCATCATCAATAAGGGTTCAATTCTCCCACCCCCGTTGAACTTCCACATTCATTGAAAATCTTTCATCAGGGTTTAACTATGCTTAATTGTCCCACCCCTGTTTAACTTCTACATTCATTGAAGATCTTCAACCAGGGTTGAATTATCCCACCCCCGTTAAGCCCCTACATTCATTGCAGATCTTTATTGATGATGATGATGCTGATGATGATGATGCTGATGATGCTGATGATGATGATGATGATGATGCTGATGATGATGCTGATGCTGATGCTGATGCTGATGATGCTGATGATGCTGATGATGCTGATGATGATGATGATGATGATGATGATGATGTGGAACGAACCCACACAGGTCCCCATGCTGCGCGTTCTGATCTAGAACATAAAGCTAACCATAATGATAAAATATCCCATGTTTCACGTTTTCAGCTCATACGAAGAAGGCGGGCCAAAAGGCGCGGGCAAATCGAGGTGTTTGGCCGTTACATTAATATGGAGTAACTTCCAAACAGATGCCGAAAGGTGTTTCCAGGACGCTAGTCCGACAAGAGTTTCCAATGTCTCATCGTTTCCAAAGTTCTTTTGTGGCAATTATATAATATCTACATGCATATATATATATATATGTGTGTGTGTGTGTGTTTGTTTGTGTGTCCTCATTAATAAAGTAATTATCATTAATTATCCACCATCTCAAACTCCAATGGTTATCCAATGAATCCAATGCTTAGGATATCAATCTCCCACGTTTTTCCCATCGCGGCCTGGGTATCGCAGCAATGCTTCCAGCAAGGCCTTCGCGAGATCTTCCTGTGACAGCTCCGGCACCGGAAACATGGCGCCTCGGTGCTGGCCATGCTGGCCATGCTGGCCATGGTAGGCCCAAGAAACTGGCCATGTTGATCCCTCTTTACATATCTTTACTATTCAAAAATGATTTTTGGTATACCAAAAAAACTCCAGTAAACAGTTTGCTATGGCAAGTCACCATTTTATCCATTTTTCAGTTCGGTAAATCATAGAAAGGGGCCATTGTCCACAGCAAACTGCTAGTTTACTGGAAGGTAATGTAAATGAATGTCACCATTGGATACTATTGGTTAAGAAATGTTGAGAATCTTTAATAGTCTTATTAGTCTTCGACCACTCATTCAATCGTTCATGTCATCGTCCTTCAATTCAACAAGGAACCCAGTTCTTCGGGATTAAGAAAACCTTGGGGGTGGCAGCCTGACACTGACTGAAAGGTCATGGCACGTACCTCTGCGAACAAGCAGCTCAATTGTAACATCGCTGCCAACGCACTGAGATTTTGTGCACCCAAACAGGTGGTGACAATGCTCTGCAGCGAGCCACTTCCAGCAAACAGCAAAGGGCCTGTTTTGAAGGGTGAGATCCAGAGGGCTCCAAACGATACACGAAAAGGTGGGAAGCTGAAAGGATGCGCTCTGATGGGCTCATGTACCACTGGTTGAGCCTCGAAAATCTGATCGTCAGTGGGGATGTCACTACCCCATGTGGCGACACATTCCTATGAAAAAAATGGGGCCACCAACCAGACCACATGATTCTGAAGGCAACATGCCTCTGTCATCCTCTGTCCATGACAAGGGATGTTTCCAGTGCCCGCATGTGCCCGCCACACCTGACAGTCGTGAGCATCGCTGCTGACATGCACCTCAGGCTGCTTGCGCGCATTTTTTGGCGGCTGACTGCATTCCCCCTCTTGGAAACTTAGACTCATTCACAAACACAACGTTGCAATGAAACTTATATGAACTTATCAGAAAAAACTGTGAACACAACGCAGGAAACAACAATGCTTCCATGCATCTATCGAAACCACGTCATGAAAAACGGCCGTGGTTCCCAGCATCAAGATCGCTGAGGCCAGTATGTGGCTGGAGAAATGAATCGTGGAACACGCATGAACGCTCACCGATGTGGAAATGGTTGCTGATGCCTGAAAGGCTAGTATATAGACACACACACAGACACACACACATATATATATATGTATAAGCATATAATTATAGTGCACATATATAAATATCGATTTATTGGTTTATTCATGTTTATATATTTATCATCTGTTGAAACGTGTCCTTTCAAATCTGCCATATCAACTGGAGGGGATACGTCACGCAGAACCAGCCAGATCTCACCATTGCTGCAAGCGTCTCAAAAGCGCGACGGAGGGTCGTCCAAGCATCGGGTCGTCCAATCTTAAGCCTAAGGTGGCCAGTGAAACATCAGTGAAGCTGCTGTTTCCCAACGTGATCAAAAAATCAAATTGCTCAACTGGCATGGAATCCTGGAATCAACATGTTCACTACATATTGTACTTTCATGTATTTTCAGGGAAAATCATCCAAGCTCCACCGCTCCCCGTCCAGCAAGGTTCGACTCCTCTGCTGCAGGAGTTTCTCTCGCAGAGCTTGGAGATTCTCATCCCATGCCTCGGTCCAAAATTGTGACCAATTTGGGCTCAGCATCCAGGAATTGAAAGTTGAAATATGTTGAAATAATGCTTGCAATCTGGCAGATCCGGATTTGAACGGATTTTTTGGGCAAAACATTGACAAACATGTGCAAAACCAACTGAAGTTTCCGACATTTCTCCGGCGACCTTGACATATCTGGACATGCAGTACAGTCGGTCCCCTGATGAATCATTCTGTGCTGAGGTGAGAGATTTATCCCAAGTTGAGTAGGGGCATGTCACTGCATACAAAACCCTATTTGCCCTATTGATCATCCTTTTTCCAATTTGAATTTGCCAATATTTGCCATAACTTGGCTTCACTTTCCCCATGTTCAATCAAATCAATGTATATAAAATTGTTTGAATTCCCCCATCTTCAGTCATATCCATGTGTATATAAATACACATATATCAGCATAAATCGCTCCATAAATCACACCTTTAAGTTGGATTACGTGATAAAATGATATAGTATATATATATATATATATGGAGGTTTCCTAAAAAACGCGTACCCCCAAATCATCCAAATTTTAGTGGGATTTTCTATTATAAACAATCCAGCTATTGGGGTGCCTCCATTCCAGGATGGGTTGGGTCCAAGGCACAGCTTTGGGGAAGTCCTCCGCTGCTTCTGGAGCTTCTGGAGCTACGCAAGCATCACAAAGGCAATAGTCGCAGGGCTCACCTTAGCAGCACAAATGTGTCCCATACTATTAGAATAAACAAATAGATATATATATAATGTGTGTATGTATATTATATATATTATGTGTGTATGTATATTATAATATATAATATATATATATATTATATATATTATATTCATATTTATTCAGTTATTTAATTCGAATATTTATGTATATAACATTTAAGATAGTATAGACATATATAGTACAGAACAAGAGGGGATAACGTATAGACTCTATAAAATAGATTGAAATAGTATAGATGCAACATAAAAACAATATCTTTATATATAAATATAATTATATATATATATATATTATGCATAGAAATCATGTGTATATACTGTACATAAATGTAATCCTTGGATGTTTGGATGAACTCTGGCATGTTCACCAACATGTACCAATACCAACATTTAACCACCCTCGTCTGTTGCCAGGGGGGGGGGTGAGGCACCTAAAAAAATAAAATAAAATGCAGGGGCCTAAGGAGAAAATGCCAATAAAATGAGAGGGTGATTCCAAATCTCTGGAACGTTTCACAAAATGATCAGACCGTTCACAGCTGTGCAGCTTTGCTACATGCTATCTCTGTCAGTTAACTTGATGGGTTAGGCACCTCAAAAAAATAAAAGTTAACTTGATGGGTTAGGCACCTCAAAAAATAAAATGCACCCACAAAATAAAATGCAGGGGTCTGACCCCATTTTATTTTCATTTTATTTTTTTATTTTTTTATTTTAAAAGGGGCTTCAGCCCCCCCATTCTATTTAGGTACCCCGGACGGGGGTTTTAACCGTGGTTTTGGGTCAACAAGTGACTTTGGGAGTCAATATACAGTTGGGTTATTGTTGGGTTAATGTTTGCAAGTACAATCCCATCTCTCCCATCCCCGTAATATTAAACATCCCGTAAATCTAAATGATCCCAAATATATCCAAATATATCATGTAAATCTCCTACTAGACCATGGTTCTAGGGGGCTCTTACTGAAGAGATTACATGATGACGTGGGATGATGTCGGATCTGAAATGGTGAGGGGTTCACCCACTTCACCAGGTGAGACCTTCTCATACCTGTGGGGACTTGAGGCTTCCAGTCGTGAACTCTAGGGCCCCTGAGGCCAAGACAGTTGTACAAAATCTCACCGCACCTGATATCCTCGGCTACTTTCAAGGTCGGGGCAGAGCCGGGCAGTGGCAGTAGATCTGATCCAAAACTCCTGACCCCTGAGAATTTCTGAATGTTTCTGGGGAAATGGGGATATCATGGGATATTATGGTGATAAATGTTGATCTGGGTCCTCTTCCCATTGGGTTTGTTAAACGCAATTTAGTAGTATTTAGTTCGAGTGGCACACTACAAAATACGATTCCCGTGAAACCAATGTTTAATGGATACGTGGTAAGTGGGTAAGTGCAATGCCCAAGAGCCACTACTAGTTTCATGGACAACCTGCGACTGTTTGGGTTTTCCAAACATAGAATACCCCAAAATCCAGTGGTTTATTGGTTTATCATGGTTCATCAGCGTTTCGCCCACTCAAGCGCGTATGTTGGCTCATTTCTGGGTTTGTCCCCATCTGTTGTGCTGACCCTGTTGACCCACCGCCCGCCCAGCCGAGATGCTTTCCTGCAACCATCGCAAGCATACTCAACCTGGGTCCATGGGGTTTCACCAGCGACTCCACAAGCGTCTTTCTATGGAAATCTATGGAAATCTACCCTCTGGTAAACTAACATAGCTATTGAAAATGACCATTTATGGTGGATTTTCCCATTAAAGATGGTGATGTTCCATAGTTATGTTAGTTTACCAGAGGGTAATCATGTCCCCAGAACCTTGATGGATCTTGATGGTTGTTCCAAGGGGCCCCTTCTTCACAAACGATATCCATCAACTTGTGCTTCTGCGGGCACGAATTGGATGAATTGGTGCAGGATGAAAGTTGTGCTGGAGCACCTGTTGCCGATTTGGAGATTTGGCTCAGTCATAGGATTCATGTGGCTACGGGTCAATTTGCTTTGCCCAGAAAATGAAAAGTTGTTACCGCACGTTTGACACATCTCCCGCTTAGCAAGCAGGATGCGAATGCCAACCCGAACGCCTTCACAAATTTCAATGTGCTGCCGACGGTTCAGGATAGCTGGGAGCAACGCATTTATTGTTCAACCATCGAGGCTTTCAATCTTTCAACACATGTTCCACACCCTTTGCAACAATCATTGCATGCCAGAATTTAAGACTTTAAGCCCAAAACTCCAGGAGCCCCACCGGTTCTTTTAATCTCTACCGTGTTCCAAACGTAGTAAACACGTCCAAGCGATCAGCCCAGCCTGCGAGAACCGAAGTAATTTCTGGCCTCTCTCGGATCTCTCGGCTCGGATCCTGGCCTGGCAAAGATGGAAAATTAGGTCTTACCCTCCAAAAAAAATATTTGATGATATTTCATGGGACGTCATGGGCCTGGGGATGTATAAGATATATTAGATATATTAGAGATATTAGATATAGTAGATATATTAGATATATTAGATATATGATGATATATGCATATATCGTATATGCGGAGTTATAATGTGGAATTATGTGGATCGAATGGGACGGAACACGAACGTTTCAACTATCCATCCACTACCCTGCAGCAACATACGGAAGTTCGATGGGATCCATGGGATGAAACTCACCGGATTCCAACAGCAGAGTTGGTGAGTTCAGCCTAATCGTTCGTTCAGCCGCTGATCCCCCAAATAGTCATGAAATGTCATGAACTGCCTGACTCATCCCGGATCACAATGGCAAACAACAACATGTAACATGTTAACAGCTGCCAACCGTTGACATCCCTTAACCGGCCATGCGCCTCTGACCAGTTGTGCCTCCGGAGCCGGGCGATCGGGTTCTCGGGTGCCACACGAAGTGCCACAGGAAGTGCAAAGTGTGTAGTCACACTCTCGGCCTCGGCCCGTGCAACCTCCCAAAATATACTTGGAAGTATATATGGAATATGTGTGGTATAGTATACTATGAATAGAATCTGATATCTGTATATTATTTACTATCGCGTATAAAATTCCTATAAAACAACTCTCATATAGAATGAATGAACCCATTATTTACAGTATTCATTGCACACTAGTGGTCGGAAAATCAAGTACAACCTATTGAAAACCGACGAATCTTCAATGATTTCATTGACCAAAGTCAGGATTAAAATCACACTGGATGACGTTGGAGGTTACTCCACATCGAGCGCTGCTTGGTGGTCTCTCCCCATCCCAGATGGGATGCTCACAGCTAGGATTGTTCAGTACGAAACATTGACACAACTAACCAGTGAACACAACTGGGCTATAAAAAAAACCACTCATATATGATCTATAGTGAACAACAAAAAAGTTAGGTCAGTTGAGAACCAATGGACCTGGTTGAAAAAGCATTGGTCAACAAACTGTCGCTCAGAAATGCACCTTTAATGTACCCAAAAAATGCAATGTTAATGATGCTGAGGAAGTCATGATAAACAATTTGCTGCCAGTGATCATTCGATGTTTACTTGAAAGTCTGGTAATTTAACATATATATAGCTATTGAAAATGCTCATGTATAGTGGATTTACCATGGATTTACCCATTGAAAATGGTGGATCTTTCCATCGTTTTTTTGGGTATGTTTACCAGGTCGGGTCGCCCAATCGGATGATGATTTCCCTGATTCCTCTGTCAGGCGAGGCACAATCGAAGATCCTGCCACCCTCGGTGATGTCCTTACGACATCCCAGACATCACGTGGCTATAATTTACCGAATTGCAGGTTGGGTTGCAACCCTGAAAAATGATAAAAATTGGGGATTTTTTTTGTAGCCTTTTTTACATCTTAAACTTTGAAGCATCAAGACAAACATAGACAAACTCAAGTTTATGTGATATCCAATGGCCTCCAATGGCCTCCAACCTGAGGATGATGTGTGCGTGTGTGTTTCAGCAAATGGGGACCTCCACCAGGCTAAGAAACACCCATATCTTGGGGTACATCCAGCGTGGATTGTATGGATTGTGTGGATTCACAAAGCTGCAGTGAACTGATGGGGGGGTCCATTAACTCATGGCATGTCCAATAACCAATGAACATAGTACCTGGTATCCCTCATCATGGTATTCAACTGTGTCTGGTTATAGTTACTCACATGTCTATGAGAATTTGGTGCAACCAATGGCTGCATCATCATATCCCGAATTGGTTGAAGGGAAAACCTATGAACATCCAAATCCAATATTTGAAGGGGCAAAAACTTAGAGGTTTAACATGGTGTCCAAATGTTTTCAGTAGATGTTCCCTTAAACCAGTCGCCATTGATCCGAGCTGCAAGGTGCCACTCTTTGACTCTCATGATCTATTTGTTCAAAGATTGTCTCCGAATCTGCTGGGGATGAAACCTCTTGCAGAGTCCAAAAGGTAAAATTGTTCGACCTATGCTATGTCGACAGGAACTTTTGTCCTGAGTTTGTTGCCAATGACTTCGCCTTCCTCAAAATTGGTCTAAGCACACCTGTAAGTTGCAAGCCTCAGTGGCAACTGTACACAACTGTACACAGTTCTTCGCTTATGGAAGAATAGCCTTGGAGGATTCACAGGACGGAGTCCTCATAGCCCCAGTGCAGCACTCAGCCCTAGCATCTTCACGGCAAAGTTGACACTGCTCCCCGCCACAGCCATGGCACTTGCTGTCAAAGCAGCTGGTCACGGCTTCCTCCTTCGAGTCTTTACCTGGATCACTAGGATGGAGAATAGAGATGAATAGAGTGTATAATTATATGTGGCTTATAAATGCTTATAGCACCCCATCCTCGTCACCCCCTATCATCCCAAATGGACATCAAACAGTCAATCTGTCGAACTTACCTCAAGCAGAACTCGCCAAATGTTCATCCAAGTCAACTATACAGACTATGACTAAACCCCCAAAAGCATCCAAGTACATCCAAATGAATTACAATTAACATCAACGAACTCAGGTACAGAACTGGGGAGGCTCCACGGAATGCCAGTGATCATCACAGCACTTGGCGATGCGCTGCACATCTTCTCG